ACCGAGCTGGGGTTTGGTAAGGGAGTCGAAATTTTAATTTTGAAAAGGGATGTTTGCACAAAAACGTCGACATCGATAGGTCTTAATAATTTAACTAACTTTTTTTATCACACCATTGAGAACATGATTATTGAAAAGAGTACAGTAGTAATAGTTCAGGTATCTCAACTTGTTATTGAGTTCATCATTTTTATTAGTATTTGCACTGACAGCCACATTACAAACAGATTATTTTATATTGATTCAGTTATGAATTAACAAGCGTCTCCGCCTTGTTATTGTGTTTATTCGTTCTATTACTTTAACTTGAATCTATTTCCGTAAATAAATTAATATATTTTTTAACAAAGTTAGACAAAAATTGACGGAAATTTTCGCGATGCTTGTCCCGCGTGAAAAGTTTTCTAGTAAAATTTTCTTTAGATTCATAAATCTAGCAGTTAAATGCTTAAAATAAATATAATGAAATAGCAAATTTATCGATACTTCTTTATAAAACATCACTAGCGTACCCAAAAATAGCTGACCTAACTTGACTACAAGCTGGCGGGGATAAACTTGGTCGTTTATGCTCTTACGGGTTTTTTATGCTCCCAAGGGAAACTTTCTTTTGAAATTATTGTCAGTTAACGTCACATTCTGTGGCTTCCACATTTGATTATGTGGATATCTGCAGAAAATATCACTATTACAAATAATTATGTTAGTCTCCAACAAAGTGTTTAAGTTTCAAGGCCATAAGTCATGTACAATATTTAAAGGTAGTAAGAGAATACCTTTCAAATTCTATGAACTACGATGATAGTTATCAAACGTGATACTGCTGATAACTGGTCATGTCTATCGAACTATCTCCAGTTATCAACGGAATTAATGAAGGTTTTGCAAGTTAGCGTGCTGTAAACAAATGTTTAGTGATTAACTCTAACGATGTAATTTTCTGTTAGCCGGCCTCTTCTAGTGGTGGTCCAAGTTTCGTCAGCAAATTTTGTTATCGATACTTTTTAGTGGCACGAAATTTTTGTACGCTGTATATTTTTTTACCTTTTCGTTTTATGCGCTATAAGTAGTTATTGTGAAAACAAAATTGATAAATTTACATAATTTGTCTCCACCTACTTCTTTGTGTGTAAAAAAATATAGTTGACAGCGAATTTATTGTTCATAACAACTGTTAAATTTAATCAAAACTTAACTACAGGAACCCTTATTCGTTATGGTTTAAGGATCAGTATTTTTTATAAGTTTGTAATTATGGGTAATTATTGTTTCATCTTTCGAAGTATCGTTGGTAAAATAAACAGTTTTTCTATTACTTTTTTTTATTTGGTTTCATGGTGTAGCCGACTCGAGAGGGAGGAGGAGGGTTCGAATCCCGGTGGGGGCAGATGTTTGTGTGATGAATACGAGCATTTGTACTTCAGTCATGGATGTTTTATATGTATTTCTAAATAAAAATATGCTTATATATGTACAGTATATGTATTGTATCCGTTACCCTAGTATCCCATAACACAAGCCTTACAGTGCTTACTTTGGGGCTAGGCTAATTGGTGTGAGTGTTGGAAATATTTATTTATTTATTTTATTTATTTATTACTATCATAACAAAAAGACATTTTCAAAATAACCTTACATCTTTCGCCTTGTACCACACAACAAGAGAAGGAAATTAATGTTAAGAGTCTTGCCCGCGGTTCGGACGACTCGAATAAGCACAGATATTGTTAACAGTTGAGCATTTAATAATTTATGACGACGGATAAGCCGGGAACGCGGTTTATAAATGGGAGCAGGATGTTTCCCGTCTATGTTAATCTTTTAATCAGAAGATATTGAATCCTTTATAATTGTTTACTACATCAAACAACGATTTCAGCCCACCAGATTGTAGCTTCCTTAAAATTTCTGAGAGTATTTATGTGAGGCCATTTGCACCAACATTCATTCCAATTAAATCTTAATACTTAATCACTTCTCTTCAACTTAAGAGAAGAAGGGCACAGCCAATTTTCTTCTCGAACCGGAGCGCCCGTCTGGGAAAGCACCATCTATATATATATAAAACTCAAAGGTGGCTGACTGACTGTCATAGTGATCTATCAACGCACAGCCCAAACCACTGGACGGATGGGGCTGAAATTTGGCATGCAGGTAGATGTTATTACGTAGGCATCCGCTAAGAAAGGATTTTAATAAATTCTACCCCCAAAGGGATAAAATAGGGAATGAAAGTTTGTATGAAACTTTGTCAATTTTAAACCGATCGGGCTGAGACTTTGCATGCAGGTATAAGAAGAATCATAGATGAATGTCATTGTTTGTATAATACAAGCTTGAAAAGGAAAACTGTAGTCTACACTGCAGCTCTACAACGAAGCGAAGCGAGGGCGGGCCGCTAGTCTTACAGAAAACCACAGTAAAATAACACTACCTTTTGGTGATCTTGTGTTTCTGCTGGTGAGTAGGGCTCCAGGGTTCCAAGGGGTAGGGGATTGGATTCAGGCCGGGAAGGTGAGGATGGCTGGAGTGGCACATTTTCTGCCGCATCATCTATCTTCATGACGGACTCAATCTATATTTCGAGCCGTTACCGCCAAATTATCGTAAGCGACACTTTTGTCGAAATGCGTTATTTGTGGAAACTAATATTTTAAACCGTAACCGGCGTAAGGAAGGTTGGAGGGAAATATCAACAGAGATGGGTCCGTTACGGTTTAAAATATTTATTTATTTATTTATACTTTATTGCACAAAAGTTTGTATAAGTGGCGGACTTAATGCCATTAGGCATTCTCTACCAGTCAACCGGAGAATTTTAGCAAAAATCTTAAGGTAGTGCAAAAAGAATTCATCAAATTACTTAATATATTTTTATATCTATGGAAACAAGATATATATATATATATATATATATATATATATATATATATATATATATATATATATATATATATATATATATATATATATATATAATATATATACTACACAAAATACATATCTATAAACATACATAAATAATAATCACAACAAATATTTAGTTAAATACATAGAAATCTATATCATATCAGGAGGATGCGGAGGAGGAATCTAATAAATGATGACGTACGGAGCGTTTAAAAGCCAGTTTGTTCGGAGCATCTTGAATATGAGGAGGCAGTGCGTTCCAGAGTCGTATAGCTTGAAGAGAAAATGAGAATATTAGTTTCCACAAAAAACGCATTTCGACAAAAGTGTCGCTTACGATAATTTGACGGTAACGGCTCGACTTAATGTCAATAGCATGCTGGATGTGCTAGGAGATCCATATATGGCTAGACTGCCCATACATCAACTACTGCTGTAGACTGCACATTGCACACTGTGGCAGAGCAGTTTAATGACATTTATTGTGTTTCTTTAGTTTTATTTAATTTAATTTACATATCGGTGTCGATTCTGACATGATTCTCTAAACCTAAACTTAAATTTGACAGCAGTATCGTTCTTGTCGTTCTCTATACAGAATGAAAAGGAGAGACTGATGTTAAATTTAGTTTTAAGTTTAGAGAATCACGCCAGAATTGGCATCATTGTCTGCTTAACATGTAAATTTGCTATTTCCACTTTATTCAAGGAGTTGCCAAAGTTATGTAAACGATGTGTTCACATTAAAGAAAACAAACGCCATTGTCAGATAATTTTTGACCAAAAGTGGAGTTAGCAAATTTACATGTAAAGCAGACTATATTTTAAATGTTGCAATTCAATTTTGATTTTAGTGAATGTTCAGAAATAATTTCAATTTAATAAATCAATAATAATAAATAGTTAATTAATGTATTATGTATAATATGAGTCTTTGTTACTTGAAATAAATAAATATATGTATACTTAAAATCAGGTGGAGAGAGAAAAAAACTACAACTGTTTGTTTTCAAAGGAGATGAAATGATGTACAAAGATTTTGTTTAAATATATTTTAGAATTTAAATGCAAACGGCCTTCAAAGTTATTGAAATTAGAGTTAAGATCGAATTAACTTTTCTACTCTCTTGTCCAAGAACAATTAATTTCGTTTTTAAATTGAAGAAAACTTTGAACTTAAAAAATGTCACATTATTATGTTAAAAGAATATAAATAAGTAATACTAAATTGCATCATAGGCGGATCCTTAATGTCTTTTTCAAAATTGCCTCTGCTAAATGTTTATATGTTACAGTCAGTAAATTCAGCATGTCTTTAAAAGACTGGAAACGAAAAAAAGTGTCTGCTACTTACCTTTACCTTTAAACCTTTATTGGTCATCTTACATAATAAAAATACTATGAACATAAACAAAAAAAATAAAAGAAGAACTTAACCTAAAAACAAAAAATAACAACATAAAACTAAGACGGCCAATCAGGACCCTGCCTCAGCTTATGCTGACACAGTGGGAGAATATCTCTCACTGTATCAGCGCTGGTATTCTGGCAGGGCCTGTGCGAGGACGTGTTAGGCGCTAACAAGCAACTAAACAATACATTTACAATACAATACTATCTAGGATTTTTATAAAAAAAAATCATTGTTTAAAGCAATGGCTAATAGTAGGATAAAATGAATTTGTGTTAGACATTATTTATCATCATCATCATCATCATCATCAGCCTATTAATGTCCCCACTGCTGGGGCACAGGCCTTCCCTATGGATGCATAGGGAGATAGAGCCATGATCCACCACGCGGGCTCAATGCGGATTGGCGGGTACTAACGACTGCAGATGCAGCCGGGACCAAAGGCTTAACGTGCCTTCCGAAGCACGGAGGAACTCGAGATAGAAGATTTTTGTTCACTCATCTTATGACCGACCACTGCGAACATTGCTTAAATTCAATGATCGCTGCCGAACGCGCTAACCACTTGCACCATCAAGCTCGTCCATTATTTATACGGGTCGGTAATATTTAGTACAAGACCATTAACGCTAACTCATGAGTAAAGGTAGTTTTAATAAATAAGAACAACATAAATTTTCAATCGATTTTATTAAAATTTTTAGTCTGTATTTCAGTAAGATGTTATTAGAAGTCAATGTACAGACTTCATTACTATACACTAGTTAAAAAAAATTGTGCATGTATACAAATAAAAATTTTGGGAACACCCACACTTAAATTATAAATTTCAGAAATATTAAACTGAACGAGGTTTACAATTACTCAGGATCTAAAAGATAGTATAGAATCGTAAATTATAGTTAAAAATAAAACTTAATTGAAACACAAAGACAGCTATTAAGAACGGAAGTTTATACTTTGAAACAAAACCATTTGTATCACTATAATTGCTAACGTAGTTACAACGTTACTGTATAGGTTTCAGTCGTGGTTTGATTTAACATTTCAATGGATCGATACAACCGGTTACACCATTCTCTAATCCTATATACATATTTACAATCGCTATTGGTCCGTCTATGTAAAGAACAAAATGTACAAATGTATTCAAAGAATTTAAAATCTATATTCGGGTTCAGATGATTCTCAACTTCAATACAATCACCAAAAAGGACACTAAAAACTGACCTTTTACTGGGGGTTTTATTGCTAACTGGGCATCTCGCAGGCGATGTCTATGGTGTCTCATAAAATTTTATAACCGCTATTTTAAAATTTCCGTACAATAAATTACTTCAGTCGATTCGACAAACTGGAGTTTGTTTCGCGCCTAGCACGAAATCCGCCTCAGATTCCTGACCGACGACTATACATTATCATTAATTTCATAATTTTAATTATCATCATCACAAATAGTCTTATACCTCCACTAGTCAAGATTACAAACGTATTCAGGATGGATATGCGGCTGAGCTGCTGAACTATATACACATTTTTTCACAAAAATGGCCAATATTTACAATAATTTACATAAATATTACAATAACTTTTAACGTTGTCCTCTAACGGAATCGCACTATAAACACCTTTAAATTTCACTGTCTGTTTGTCTGTTTCAATGTTTTCAACACGATATGATTGATGGCTTTGTTCAATTGTCACCTCACTTAAAATTTTTCGCCTTCTGCTGGCCAGTACACAGACACTGAAAGTTTATATGTAGTCTGTGACGCACTTGAGAAGGTCCGGCTCGAGTCACACGATCTCATCGTGATGCACTACGTCACTGCAGCTGCCGGCGCGCTGCAGTCAGGCGCGCTGACGTCACACTCTCAACTCCTCCATCGTCACATTCGACTTGGCGTTTAATTGGGTATTCTTCTTCGTCAAAGTGTTAGTATTTATCATTTGCATCTGATGCGCGGAGAGCAACGGCTGATTTTCTTGCAGCTGCCCGCTTGCAAGCGTATTGATATTACTCTTCCCGATTTTAGGAGGTGGAGGAGCTCTAGGCAGTGTGGCCATACCGGCCACGTTATTACTAGGAAGATCTGCGAACTCAGGTGGTGGCAACTGGTGATGCGAATGTGTGTGGTGATGACTGAGAATCGTCGCCGGATCGTTTTTCAAGCTCGTCTGATACGTCAACGCTCCTTCTAGATCACCGCAAATGTTGTTTGGCATTTGGCCATTCTCAGCACGTTTCTTAAGGTGAGAACCATTTGCGTGCTCCTGGCCGTTCATTCTAGTTTTGTCCCTTTGATAGTATACTCCGGCGAATATTAGCACGTTTAGTATCAATAGGGAACATCCTATAGCTATTGTTACACTCAGTGCTGTGGAGTATGCAGCAAAACCATCTTCGGGAGGAGAAGCTGTGGAAGTATCCGATTTGTGTATTTCTGATCCAGGACTGCTTTGCGTTGGTGCATGCAAACCAATAATATTGAAATTTAATGGAGATGTGATATTCAAAACGCTCACAATTGGAATTCTAGTGGCAAGGCCTGTTTCTGTGGCTATTTCAGTAGTCTTCTTCAGTGGAGGACTCAATGTTTTGATTGTTGGTTGGAGAGCGGTTTCATCGTTTTCCAACTGGTGATGAGAAGGTGGCACGTCTTCTCCTCCGGGACGGTGTAGATCTGGCACTAAATTTAGCCAGAACGACAACCTGTGAATATAATTAAAATTAAAGTTTACGGGCATAATGTTTTTGAACATCTCCGATACAACAACATCGTGAATTTTCTATTTAGATTGTAACTTTTTAATTTGGAATATAAAAGTGGACTAGCAATATTGTCCTGTACGATTACGTAAAAATTTGAGAATATTTTCGAAAAGTGATTTCTCTTTACCTGTGTGCTCTGTAATGGTTCTTCAGTTTTGACTTGATATCTATACTCAGATACTTCTTGTGAACAGCTTCGTAGGCTGTCCATTCGATATTTTTCAGTCTTGATCTTTCTTGTCTGCCCACTCTGATGGGGTCACTGTCCTGGCCTTCATTAGGATTCCTAAGCAAATTATATACAAAGAAATCAGAAAGGTTTTTAATTAGCGTTATTTAATTAATGGTAATGGTATATCTAACTTTTGGCTTTAGAGATAATTTTCTTTCTTGAGGCATGCCTATTTTACTCAGAAAATCTTATTATATTCTTTGCCTCTGTTTCTTCAGATTTATAACTTTTTTACTGGATAAAATTAAGGCTAACAAGACACAGTAAAGAAAATAGCTAAAAAAGTAATTTCTATTTAACGTTTCAACATTAACACTTCAGAATAATAACCAATTATAGTTTATCGACATTTTCTAGTCTTTTAAGTGCTTTAAAAATATGCCAAGTAAGCCTTAAAGAATTTACAGAACGAAAAGCTGCTAAATAACATGTTTTCTCAGAAATATAGAAGTGACGATACTGTTGAATTTAAGTGAAGAGCTTACTCAAGGTTTTTATTTATTAAATCATTACACATGATTAATTTCATAATTATTCAATTTTAATAACATTACCAAGGCTTTAATGAGTATATTGTATTAACTGTCTGTTTTGCTAGATAGTATTCATCAAATTCACAGAAATCTTACCCAGTCTTTGCGAAGTTTCCCCAAAAGGTCATAACGGATTCGGACAAGGCTATTTCCACTTTAGTGTAGTTTCGAGAGAAGTGTGCTAGGCCTCCCACCAGAGGGGCGCCGAATATGTACGGCAACTCTTCGCCGTGAATGCATCCCTGCCGCTGTATAAAGTTAAAATAACAATTATTATTGAGATTAAAAAATATCCAAATTTCAATAGGGAAGATGGTTGGTATATACCACCACCAGCTTGAGAACCCATTATACAGGAGATAAAATCCCAACCCCGAGCACAGACTGCAAGACCAACAGATACTATAAGTTCTTTTTGTTTGCATAATTTAACATAAGAAGGAGATAGAAAGCCTCTCTTGAGTTTGTTTCGCCGGTTCCTCTCAGAAAGGTCTCCCAATTTTGGAACCGGTGGTAGTTTACGGTAGTTAGGGTCAAATAAATAAACTCAAAATTACAAAAAAGAATTTTAAATAAAATACTTTATTAACTAAATTAAGTAATAAATTCATACATAGACAATAAAACTTTAAAAATCGAACAATGAAATAACTGAACGCTCAATAAAAGTCTTTTGAAGGTAGCTCGACAAAATTAAATAAAAATTTGATTCCGACAACGTAGCCTGTAAAGGCTACGAAACGTCAATAAATAAATAAAGTTTCGTGAATTAATCTGTGAAAAACTAGTTTTACTTAATTATTATCGCTTTCGCTAACAAATGTTATCTCAATAATTCTAAGATTGAATGTGCCGTCATTGATGTATAGCTATTTTCTGAGTTTGGACATAAACCTCTGACTTGTGTAATGTTAAGTGTGATGAGTTATTTGTTTTTTCGGATCACAGTGCATTAGATACATTCAGAATAATCCAGGTGACAGAAAAAAGTATGTACAGAAGAAGTTAAGTATTAGAATTCAGATATAACTCTTTGTGTATGAAAACATAAAGTAAACTAGCTAAATATCAAACCATTATTCTATTACTGGACTATATAGTTACGGTATACTAAATATTATTAAAATAATAATCATAATGTTTATTCATCAAACCTTACAAGTACTACTACAATATGATCTTAAAATAAACAAGGAATGGTTTGCTATCTTATAATCTTATAAGAAGGACCCCTGACTTTCATGCTAGGTAAGACCTGTGTTATGAAAGGCAGTGGTTCGATTCGAGACACCGGATGGTTACAAAAACTTTATTAATTAATGTGTGTGTGTGTATGTGTTTGTGTGTATATGTGAGATATTGTGTGTGTTGTAATAATGTCATCTATATTTTAAAGTAGTATATGTTCCGTTTCACTGTAAGTGAAACACTCTTTTACCTTGGTCTTAAACTCATACTTATACTTGAAATTGCTACCTACGATCTTTATCAACAACCCTCATACATATAAATCCAAACGTTCATTCATTAAAGACTATCAAGCCATCTACTGCTTCCACCGACTTGCTGTCTCGTTAGCGACGAAGTAGGGAACTCGAGTTTACAAGTATTAATAACAGGGCCCGCCGTTGCAGTGTTTCCATTTAGCGAAGAGCCATGTCGCCTAGGTGATATCAACGTGCGGAGTGCCAGCCGTAATTGGTCACGTTAATTACTCCGAATATTAAGTTATTATCGAGACGAGCGCACTGGATAATTACAAGTAACGCGCTTCACGTTCGCTGCTGCAGTTAAACTAAATCAAGATATTTATGATAGGTTAGGTACAATCGACAACAACAAAGACTATGTGACCACAAAGACTCGAATTTCCCTAGTGGATTGTGAATCTTATCCTATCCATGACACGAGCATCTATGGTCGTTCTTTTAACGTCCAAGCTGTACGGTCTATGGAATTCTCTACCTGTATCCATAAGACGAGCGCAATCTATTAATGTCTTTAAAAATCTAGTTGTAAACTTAGATTAAAACAAAAAGGGTAGATACGGTACTAGCCTCACAAAAGTGATCCGCATGAATTGTGGTCCACGAACCTAATTGCTTTAGTCACAACTTGACATGCCAACGACGTACATGTGAACGCCAAAAAGAAATATTGCTAATATTTTGTGTTTATATGATAATACATGCCTAAGTGTGTTTTTAAAAAGTGCTCAAATTGCTCAAGAACTAAAAATAACACCCACAACATCACTTTTCATTCGTAAGTACTATAAAATATATTTTTTCATAAAAAATTTGAATCTTATTCGGTAGTGACGTCGAGTACTGGTCGCGTGATTGGTCGGTAGTGCAGTGACGCGGATCTCGCCGTCTCGTTCGCGCTGCCGTTGATACTTAACGTGCTGTTTCGTTCGGGTCGGTAATGCAGTGACGCAGATCTCGCCGTCCCGTTCGCGCTGCCGTGGGATCAGTTTTTGTTTGATGCAAGTATGAGCGTACCGTTTGTTTTACCCTTTTTGTTTTAATCTAAGATTGTAAATCACTTTTTGTCGATGTAGCTGCATTTTTATCTCTGCTGACTGGACTAAACTTATATATGTGTAGTCTATGTATTGTATAATATGTATATATGTTTGTACATATAATATGTATATTTAATTCATAAATTGGGTTATATACCTTGTTTCTTTTACTGACACCAACGACTCTAGCTTTCTTTCAATCCTCTCCATCCAAAGGTTGTCTGAGAGAAATCGCTTTTAGCGATATGACCGCCCATTGAAGCACTCTTTTTTTTACAATTGTAATTTCCCTCATTTCTGTTCTGTGTTGTGGTGTTTTCAATAAAGTATTGTGTATAGTATTGTATTGTAGTGTATTGTATTGTATTGTATTGTATTGTATTGTATTGTATTGTATTGTATTGTATTGTATTGTATTGCATTGCATTGCATTGCATTGCATTGCATTGCATTGCATTGCATTGCATTGCATTGCATTGCATTGCATTGCATTGCATTGCATTGCATTGCATTGCATTGCATTGCATTGCATTGCATTGCATTGCATTGCATTGTATTGTATTGTATTGTATTGTATTGTATTGTATTGTATTGTATAACATTTTATGATTAATACGTTTTTCTTTATTTGTTTGCACTCATGACTGTGGTGTACCCTATAAAGTACCCAATGAAGCAAAATTGAGCCGTTGTGTTTTCGACAAAAATTCTATCTATTGTAATTTTGGTTTGATATTATCTTTTAAATGTCTACTGGGAAGATTGATTTGTTGAAAACTTATGAATAATAATAACCGTATACACATATATAGTGTTTCAATATAATTGCATTTAATTCGTACGTTACTTGCAAACTGCACAAATGTATGCCAGTATTAGTTATCGTGTCTCATCCTCAATAAAAAATTGTCACCTCTTCTAGTTGCATAGTTCTTCTAGAACTACTGTAACAGCTTTTGGACCTTAAACGTCAGCAATAAACATTGAATCGGAATGTTCAATAAACTCACCTGCGGATAGTCTCCATACTTTGTCTGATAGTCGAACACATACAAATATGAGTTCCTGCGTAGAGCCGAATGTGTGTCCGCCGTGAGTACAATTGGCGCAACGACTTGAGCATCACTTAACGCTTCCAGAGTTTCATCCCTGGAACAAAACGGTATATTAACACCGCCATTATAATTTTGTGGATTAAAAGCGACATTGGCATAATGTTATTCATTAAATGCAGCAATGGGATGTTACCAGAAGTGTATATGGGTCCTTATATATTTTGCAGTAAAATAAATATATCACTATCACTAAATATTATGAAACCGAGCTATAGACTCTCAGTGTTATCATGTTTAGTGATGATCGGTTTCATACTCTTATTTTCATTGATCACAGAAAAAACGTCGACCATTGGTTCTCGTCGGTCATTGGTACCTTAAGCATATTGGGTCCTAACAGTTAACACTAAGTTACAGTGATATTATACGCGTGGTAGCAGACGCTCGCTTCGCGAGGGGGGTGTCGTTGTTGATTTTTAAAGATGATTTATATTTTGTTTCAAATTAATGAGAACTTAATAAAGATCATTTGACTTATTTGATATAACTTAATAAGTAGTTTCACTCATATTCAAGCTAATTAAAAGAAGCCGGATAAAAGACAAAAAGTCCAAAAGGACATATCCGGACGGGTGGTAATTAATGGAGATGCAACGGATAGTTGTTTGGCCGGATACCCGATACCGGATATTATATCCGGTATCCGGCCGCCTAATATTCGGCCGGTCAAACGATACCTACACTTTAGTTGGGCGGCGGGCGCGTCGTGCAGGTTTTAACCTGTTACGTATTGTAGGTTCGCGCGGACCGTTTTCTAGGCAAGAAACAAGCTTCATTAGGTCACAGTGTTTCCACAATGAGGGGAAATTCCCCTTTTAAGGGGAAATTAGGATCCAGAGGGGAAGAAAAAGGGGACAGACATAAAAAGAGGAAATTGCGGGAAATTATGGGTAAAGCCTAGCCTAAAATAATGCGGCACGAAACAAATTTTTTATGGACTTTATCGTGGACTAGATTGTTGCCGTATAAAAGAAAATGTGGCAACACGTGCAGATTTTATATATTTTATTTATCTGTTATAGAATAAGATAAATTAAGACCTTTGTTTTTCTTTAGTTAGTACACTAGTGCCAAATCTAAACACTATATCAAAATATTTTTTGAGGGGAAAAATGTCCTAAGAAGGGGAAATCTGAATTGAGGCGTGGGGAAAGGAAATCATTAAAGTGGAAACACTGTTAGGTCAGTGTACGGAACTATTTCGTATGCAGTACACGTGCACCCACCTATTTTGTTTGGTAAGTTTAATTGTACGTTAAAGGTAATACTAATAAACAAATATTAATAAGTTGTTGTTTCCTTCTAACCATTTTTCAAAGTTAAATACCAAACAGAATCACTATTCGGTATTCGGCCGGTTAGTGCGCAACTATCCGGTATTCGGCAGGATAGTAAAATAATGGCCGGGTAGGCCGGATACCGGATAGCAACCGGATATTCGTTGCATCTCTAGTAATTAATAACCCTAATCCCACACACTTTTGCTGTGTTTTTTCTTTACTATGTGCTCACCTTATATTGATAGGATGCTGCACTGGCCGCTCCCAGTCAGTGTACTCATTGATGATGGTGGCGAGAATCTCCGACAGGTGGTAACTGTAGGTGTTCCTTACGAACGATTTGAGGATCTTGGACCGTCTGTCAGCCTCGATACCGTACTGGACGTCGTCTCCGCTGAAGGCGAAGTAAGCCTCCGCTTTTGTCACGCCTAGCATTAAGTCATACCTGGTGACAACGCACAACGATCTATAATACATATTTTTTTAAATCTAAAGAAAAGTTTACTAGAAAAAAAAAAGTTTACTAGAAAAAAAAATCCACGCGGACCAGGCAGCGGACGGGACTAGAACCCGCACCCTTCGCAATCCGGGCGAATATAAACTTTTCTTTAGATTTAAACATCTAGCAGTTAAATGCTTAAAAATAAATAAAAACATACTTTTTTTTTATAGATAGGTCCGACAAATGACTCCACCCCACCTGATGTTAAGTGAAGGTGAAGTCCAGACGTGAAGATAGCTGATACAGCAGTTTTACCTGCCACACCAGCCATCCTCACCCTGCCGGCCTGCATGTTGCTTCTTCACGCCTCTTTTTAAAGGATCCCAGGTTGTAAGAGGGAGGGAACACGTGAGCGGGCAGAGCATTCCATTTACGGCTTACTTAGGTCATATATACGAAAAATTATAAAGACAATCTTAAGGCGCTTAGCAGACGACGGGGCGGGGCGGGCTTTTTGTCCGCGAAGCAATAAAGACCGCGTCTTCCCGTCGATGTCTGCGGCTGCCCGCGCCGCGTACACAAAGCACACGACGGGCAGAGGCGGTCAGTTTAGGACGTTCGTTCTAGTGAATAGTCCATCACTAATAAGCGCGTGGCGCGGACTGAGCTGACCGCCCCGCGCCGCCGTCTGCGTTACTGCATATAAACTGGTTTGTATGATCCACGGCGGGCAGCCGCGGACATGCCGCGCCGCCACTGCCCGCCGGGCACCTGCGGCGCGGTCTTTTTGCCCTCTGTGTGCGTTTGAAGTATAGGATTCACTTTGTGCTATTATTCGCGGCGAAATTGACCGGCCCGCCCCGCCCCATCGTCTGCAAAGCGCCTAATGAGGTCTTAAAATTAAAAGGAGCCTTTAGACCGATGTCTTGTTTCGAAAATAACGCTTAAGCTATCGTACCTAGCGATGGCAAGTCTAGGTTTTATTAGAATTATAGCTATTCTCTTTTTGCAATAACCATAGAAGGAGACATAACTTATTGAAGCATTAAAGTATTTTGTACGTTTCTGAGGACAGTTGTAAGCGTGAAATCATGAATCCTGTAACTGTTTTGGACTGCAACTGTCTCAGATTTATTCAGCGCGCACATTGATCTATCACATCATTTAACTATTCAAACGTCATATATTATATCAGTGCTTTGCACGGAAATTAAGGAACATCTAAGGTAAGCGGGAGGAGCTCGATGGCGCGTGGTTAGAGCATTCAGCTGCGATCGTTGAAGTTAAGCAACTTTCGCAGTGGTCGGTCATTGGATGGGTGACCAAAAATTTACTATCTCGAGCTCCTCCGTGCTTCGGAAGGTCCCGGCTGCATCCGCAGTCGTTAGCCCCCACCAATCCGTACTGGGCCCGCGTGGTGGGTCATGGCCCAATCTCCCTATTCCATCCCTATGGAAGGCCTGTGCCCCAGCAGTGGGGACATTATTAGGCTGATGATGATGAAGGTAAGCGATATGAAAAACTGTTTCAAATACAATGCGTACTTGGTGAGTTGCGCCACCGCACTCTTCCTCATGAACACAGCGTTGATGATGTTGATAGCGTTCTGTGCCTGCTTCCCTGTCGGCGCGCGAGCTATCGGCTGCCCTCCCCACTCATAGCCGTTCTCTGGCGACACTAGCAAGTCACCTGTGTCTGGGCGAAAAACAAATATCCTTTAATGGAGTTTGCTTGCGTAAGTAAAAGGTGATTTGTTAAATGGAAAACGTTTGTAGAACAACTGGTGATAACATTATTGATGAAAAGCGAAGCGACAATATTGCTGCTTACTTTGCTATGATCACTATGCCACACGCTGTTACCAGAAAGATGTTTTTTCAATGTCCAATCAACAACATTTGTACACAAAAATTTGCATGCATACGGGATTCTAGCTGCTGGCGCTATTGACTGTCTTTCTGGTAAATGATAAATATTTGTACAAGAACATTGTTATAGAACAGCGCTCTAATGGTACTCGTATTGGATGTTTAATCAAAATATAAGTAACCGTTGCAAAACAATGTATAATAGAATCCACATAGAATATTTTTATTTTGGTTATATTTAAATATTCTTTAGGTTTAAAGATATAGCAGTTACATGCATAAAAATAAATAATATAACTATAATTGTCATTTCTTCTTTCAAATGTTTAATTCTTGTAAAGGTATTCATTTCACATTTAACAGCCCTTGCTGAGTTTCCTGCCGGTTCTTCTCAGTACAAGGTCTCCCGCCGTAGATTTACGAACCGATGGCGTAGCTTCTAGACGCCTAGCTTGTAACAGCCTAAACTGAATAAATGATTTTGATTGATTGATTGTGGGTTACCTACAATGCGAAGAGATCGCGCTGCCTTGTAGCTTAAGAAAGGCTAAACAAAATTCGACACGGACACCAGATCCGCGGCAGCATAAAGTCAGTGATAAAATCACCCTTATTACATTCATTACGCTGATTTTATCGCTAATTTTTATAATTAAGATAATAATACAACACTGAAATAAGAAATATATATATATATCCAATAAATACGTATCCATAAAACTAAAATACACTGTATTTTAATTTCAAATAGTGCTTTTAAAGCATCTCTAACAAAATACAACATTAAACTTTAAAAGCAGCTAAACAATCATTTCCACATAAACCAGACAAACGCACAAAAGGTGAATATCAAAAATTCATATAATGGAACACAACGAGTTAAGTTGCTCTTCCAACGAAATTACGCCGCGGGAAAGCATTTGAACTCGCGTAATTCACTATTTCAGAGTAAAAAGCTTCCTTTAAACACATTCTGAGTGGACTATAATGGCGTGTTTAACTTCCGAAAATAGAGACCGCGCAAAAAATGCTTCACAAAGTGTACCGTTGGCGAGATGAGAAAACTTTGCTGAGACAATTTAATAACGAGTGGACGACAACCGGAAAGAATGCTGCTCAAGCAAAAACAGTAGAATCGCTTAAAGCAATAAACGGCACAACTGCTTTGAAATGAAAGTACCCTATATTGGTAATTGTATATATCATAATATAGTTTATAGATGCCAATAAAAGATTGAAAATGAGAAAAAGACATTATTCCTACTCGTGATTGTTTCAATGTTTTGTGGATTAAGCGACTTCTCATCTGTTAAAATATGGCATTTGTCGCTTCTTTTTTTTCGTTAAGGAAAGAACGCATATTATAAGTCATTCATTTCACATTCTTACGTACAAACGCAACATACAATTCATAAACTGATTACCGTTCAAGAGTAATACTCAATAGCATTTGTAATACGACCATGACGAAACACTCTCATTTTAGCAGGGGCAATTTTAAAAATTTCAACAGTCTGAAAAAATTATAAAACTTTATTTTATCTAAAGAAAATATAACTATAAAAAAATCCACGCGGACCAGGCAGCAGACAGGACTCGAACCCGCACCCTTCGCAATCCGGGCGAATGCACTGATCAATTATGCTACCGCGGCCGTGTTCGATGGTCAGTGCATTCGCCCGGATTGCGAAGGGTGCGGGTTCGAGTCCTGTCTGTTGCCTGGTCCGCGTGGATTTTTTTCTAGTTATATTTTCTTTAGATTTAAACATCAAGCAGTTACATGCTTTAAAAAACATAAAAATTGTAAGTTTATTTTATACTCAGTATTGCTTCAAGTTTATAAAATTTCCATTCGTTACGCAAATTTAATTTGCCATCTAATATTCTCAATTTAGATTTCAAATTTGTAGCTCTTCTTTCTATTGTTAATTTACTCTCATTAATTTGGAATATTGGGACCATTTTATTTTTATCAGTTAAGGCAACTTCATTTATTTCATTTTCCTTATTAAAGGTGCGCTAGGGGCAGGCTAGCTCAATAATTGAAATTCCGATTCCCTTGCGCTCCTTGGACTTAAAGGACTATGAGCTTAGAATTCTAATAATTCTAAAATGGCAAAACTGTCAGATGTCTTGAGATTGATACGTTCACTTTATTTATATTTCAGTTAATATCTATCCCAAACACAAAATATAATCTTTTGTATTATGATAATTGATGGTTTTCATTCATATTATTTTAAAAAGGGAAATATATTTGTTTCTTAGGTTTTCACGCACATCACTAGTTTTTAACGGGTTAATGCACGAAACTTTATTTATTTATTGACGTTTCGCAGCCTTTTCAGGTCAGCTTCGTTAGAATACTGATTTTTTATTTAATTTTGTCGAGCTACCTTCGAAAGACTTTTATTGAGCGTTCGGTTATTTCATTGGAAGATTTTTAAAATTTTCTTGTCTATGTAGTTTATTAGTTAATAAAGTACTTTATTTGAAATTCTTCTTTGTAATTTTGAGTTTATTTATTTGACCCTAACTACCGTAATTACCGACCTTTCTGAGAAGAACCGGCGAAACAAAGTCAGAGAGGCTTTCTATCTCCTTCTTATGTTTTAACATGCAAACAAAAATAACTAATAGTATCTGTTGGTCTTGCAGTGTGTGCTCGGTGTTGGGATTTTATCTCTTGGATAATGGGTTCCCAAGTTTATTTATTTATTTTATTTTTTTATTATGAGAACCTAATATCATTATTTTCATTTCTTCTTATTACAGAACAAAATTGTGATGGCGTTATCTAATTATTTAATAACGAGGGGGCATTGTTTATTCGCTATATTTTTTAAAGAACCACTAAGCTATCTTGTACACACAGGACCTGAAAATCACAATATAGGACTTTAATCAAGGTATGTTGTACAGCAACTGTAGGTACAATGGTAAATTAGCCTTTCTAGGGTAAGGTTTTTAGGTAAAAGCGATATACAAAATGTTTAAGACCCCGTGCGCATGGCACACGAACGTGTAATTTTAAACACAGCATCTGAGGCCAAAAATAATAGAGGCTTCCTTTACTTGAAATCACAACAAACCCTTATTTTACCCGCTGAACCTTAATTTAAACGGCCGTATGATTTAGATTAATCTTATGACGAAGATCTGAAAAAGATTGCATAACGGCTTGAACAAATAAAACTATACAAAGCAATATATACTCAGATTTTAAAATTTTACTCGAGACTAATGTAATTATTACTCTTAGTAATCCATCAAAGTTCGCAAAGCAATAGAAATAATAACTGTATTTCATTTCTGTGGAAAGGTTAATAAAAATGATTGATCACTCAGTACCTACTAATAAAACAATTTCAGTTATAAACAACTCTTCGCCGATCAAATAAGTTACAACCATTCTCGCACAGGTCTCGGTCAGCGATAAAACCAAGTTAGGCACTTGCCGACTAGATGAGTGCTCTATCGCTGACAATAGATGAGTTCGATTATTTCAGTTGTTCGCCAAAGTTTGTGCTTATCTAGAAGGACAAAACTAGAAACACATTTGGAGACAGAAACTTACGGACAACAATGGAAGATGGCTATTGTGGCCGCTAGAAAACATCTTGCATATTTTCGGGTCATTCCTTTATAAATAAGATGATATAAAGTACACGGATATAAACGTAATAAATTTTAATAACAGCATTAAAATATTTGAAGATGTTTGGAATAGTAAGGGAAAACTTGATAAGTTAGTACTGTGTGATGTAAGCACTTGCAAGAAGAAATTTGAAAGAAGAGACTTGTAAGAATTAACGAACAAAAATAGAAGACGATCATTGAATATATATAGCAAACTTTTGCGCCAATCTTTTGATTAAATGAAAGCCAAAGAGTGATAAATAGTAACTACTAATATGTATATTAAAATGGAATTAATTTGCAACGATACAAGAATAGGGTTTAGATTGACTTGATCAATTTTTGAAATATAATTCCCTAGATATTCTGGTACTTTTACTGTCATAATACTTAGCATGTCTAAAATATCACCAAAGAAATCAACACCAACAAACGGCAGGAAATATTTCGTATAAACAAACCCCAATCAGAATACGAAAAAAGTCTAAAGTGTTTCTCCGTTTAATTAGCCTGTTTGTTATCCGGCGACATTGTCCAAATATTTTTCGTCCTCATTCCGCTAACAGGAAAACTGGTAATTCGTACGGATAGCCGTGGGTTTAAACGATTGTATTTTATAAAGTTTATTAATAACAAATGTGATTTTTAATAATACGCACTTTTGAATGTGACTCGCCATAAAAAGTAATTAATGTAAAGAATTTCGAGGAACAAGTCAAACAGGATCTAGTACAATCAATATAGCACATTAGTTTACAACAAATTTCTCATTTAATTTTAATTTATCTTAAGAGGAGAATATCTGGCAGTATTATAGCTATTAACGGGATTTTTACCTTGAACCTTGTTTTATTTAGTATTGTGTGTCGGGAACAAGTGCGAGTGAATAGTGAGAATGTGACCAGTGGTACGGGTATCAAGCGCAGTAAAAGACGACGTCAGAGGGTAGACCGATATGTCTGCCAATAATATCTACCCGCAATTACTTCAGTTACTCCGTGATCATGGCGCTTGCAACAGTGCCGAAATATCGAAGATTCATAAAAAAACAAGGTACATGGTAACAATCCCGTTAATAGCTATAATGTTAGTGACCATGAAAGTTTAAAACAATATATCTGGCAGTATGTCTGGGCCAGGATCAAACCGATTTTAAAATTCCCGTGCATTATGCATAGATTGATCTATAAATAAAATGATTAGTAGCGACGAACTTACCTATAACAACGCCATCGACGCTTGGCCCGAATGCATAAGCGAAGTCAGGGGCTTGCACTGGTGCAGACAGTAGCGCCTCTAGCGGCCGTTCGCGTAAACACCGCAGTAACGCAGGTGGTGTCAGCTCTAAAGAAAACTCAACAATTACAATAAAGACTGATTATGAGAAAAGAGCTCGACAGCGCAAATGGTTAACGCGTTCAGCTCTTTAAATGATTTCGCAGTGGTCGGTTATTGGATGGGTGACCAGAAATTTACTATCACGAGCTCCTCCGTGCTTCAGAAGGCACGTCAGGCTGTTGGTCCCGACTGCATCGGCATCCACCAATACGCACTAGACCCGCGTAGTAGGTCATGGCCCAATCTCCTTATTCCATCCATAGGGATGAAATGGCATGAAGCCCAGGCAATACTGAGAATCCTTCTACTGCGCCTTTTCATTTAATACTTGGGTTCACACTGGGAGCTCAGTAGACCTGACAAACTCAGCAAATCCAAGCTCCTCTCTCGCGTGGAGAGCGCAGTTTTTTTAAGGCTCTTTAAAGGCTAAATCTTCCGAAACACCACATGTCCAAAAAGTTGTGTTAATTTACTGTGGCCATCTGTAAGATGAAGGCTACTTCCTCAAACGTGCGCTTCAATTTAATTGGAAAATCCGAGTCCGCTTTATCCTAACTGTCCTTAACACGAATAGCTATTAAGTACACGTTTTCTTGTTACATTATTTGCTTGTTACATTCATAAGCTTCACACTTTCATCCGTTCTCGATGTGTTTTGCACTAAAAACAGGTTTATTTTCATTTTTGGAGATAGATTTAGAGATCGACGTTGAAGGGCTCAATCGTTTTCTAGGCCTCCATGCCTTAGAAATATAGCTTCTAAGCATAGCGCAACAATGCCGAATATTGTCTCCATGACAACATCTGAGATGTTAGACAATAATAATGTTCCGATGTTTGATTTATCGATTTATCATTATGGTACGTCACACGAAAATGAGCCTCGATTGTTCTTAAGAGCTACCACTCGCTTAGCTACTAATCATAGTAAAAAAACACATTGCATAGGTTCATTTAAAGTTGGCGATATTGCAAGAGATATCGGCCGTCCCTTGCATAGATCATAATATCTTAACTTTGTCTATAGAGAAGTAGGCTATAAATTTTAAGTTAAAGTGGTTACCTGGAGAGCAGTTTGCATGTGTCGCCACTATGGCTGCGTATTTGTTTGGATCGGCTACCAGTGACCAGGGGCTTAGACCTGATCCTGACATCAGCACTGCTCTATGGAAAAGGAGGCCTGCAACAAAGGAGTCTCTTATAGTGGTAATATAACAAAAATGAAATGAAAAATAAATTACGGGCGAAAATTTATGATTACGACGCGGCTAATAGGGCCGTGGTAGCATAATGGTCAGTGCATTCGCCCGGATAGCGAAGGATGCGGGTTCGAGTCCCGTCCGCTGCCTGGTCCGCGTGGATTTTTTTCTAGTAATGAGATGTTGTGAGGGCTTGTGGTGAATAACACAACAACGTTGGGTGTACTGCATGTAATTCCATAGAAGATGTTATCTTATATACTAAATCAATACACGAACATACGTGCTAGGCGAGGAGACTTCTAATCGCTTTCGGGGGATGATTATCATCACGTATAAAGTATACGTGTTTTAACTTCACCACACCTCCCCTGAAAACGTTAGGCGTCCCTCCCCTGAAAAGGAATGGCTCTTAATCTATACATTTCTTAATCCTATTCTTATGTACAGTATATTCTTTATCATTTCTTAATATTTTAACATTTGGACCTATTTCCTCTATGACAAGATACGGTCCTAAATACAGATCATTCAATTTATTATAGTTTTCATTTTTAAGCCATACTAAATCACCTTTTACATAATTATTACTACTACAAGTTAAATCATATTTTAATTTTCTACTTATTTTCGTATTTAACAAATTATTTCTAGCATCAGAATGTGCTTTTTGTAATCTAAATTTTAACTCTAAAGGATAGTCGTCATATACATACAATGGTTCAACCTTATCTACTAAGTTGCTGGGTACATTACACATTTTCCCAAAAACTAGTTCATAGGGGGAATATTTTGTACTTGTATGAACAGAAGTATTATATGCAAAACACCAATAGGGTAACCATGTACTCCAATTAGATAATTGATTTTTAGTTTGTATCCTTAAATAACAACCTAGATGTTTATGCCAATTTTCTAAAGATCCTATACTCTCATGATGATATGGTGTTGAATTTAATTTCTGGATTTTTAACAATTCACATACATTCTTCAAGGTGGAATTAATAAATTCCGTTCCACAATCTGTTGCGATAACTTTAGGAATACCATATCTTAATATAAAATTTTCAACAAAAACTCGAGCCACCGTATTTGCTGATTTATCACTAATTGGGTAGGCTTCTACAAATTTTGTTAACTCACATTGCAAAGTCAATATGTATTTATATCCCATGGTATCTATATCGAGAGGTCCTACAATATCTAAATATACCTTTTCGAAAGAAGTAGATGCTGTGGACGTTATAGTCATTTTTTCTTTACTATTCTTGTTACAGAATTTTTGCCTTTGGCACTCTTTACAGCGAGCTACAAATTCACTTATATCTTTATACATATTATGCCAAAAATATTTTTTCTTAATATTTTTTGTCATTTTGGCTATACCAGCATGGCCACTTGTCGGTAACAAATGATAGTCATTTAAAATTACACGTACTAAGTTATTATCTGTAATTCTTTCTGCGCCATTAATTATACACAACCGCGGTAAGTATTTATTATTCGCGAACTCTTGCGCTAAAATTTTAATATATTTATTATGACCTCCATTTCTAATTAATACGAATTCTACAATTTTATACATTTTACTCATTTTAACCAGGTCTCCTATCGTTGCGTCTCGGCGCGCCTCCGTTAGTAAAGAATCCTGATTTATGTAAATTATAGTCACAAAATAAAATATTGGAGGTTTGAAAGCTTACTTTCCTCTTTTCTTTTATATTTATAAAGTTTTTACGTGTACAGATGTCTAAACTTACATCAATATTTGACTTCTGAATAATGTCTACTACTTTAGGTGTTCTACCTTCAAGTGTTAATTTATTTTCCCCACACGCAGTCTCCTTTTTGTCCAGAGACCGTTTCATTGAACGCGTTACTACTCCTAGAAAATTTGAATTTAGGGATTTTAGTTCATTTGAAGTTATACTAATTCTCGACAAAGCATCTGCTGTTACATTTTCGGATCCTTTTATGTAGTCGATTTCAAAATCATATTCCTCTAGACATAATCTAAACTTAGTCAATCTGTTACTAGGATCTGTCATACTAAATAAATGTACTAACGGTCTATGATCCGTAAGAATTTTAAACTTCCTGCCGTACAAATACGGTCTAAAATGCTTTATAGCCCATACAACTGCTAACAACTCTTTATGAATAGTTGGGTAGTTTTTTTCGGAAGAATTCAATTGTCTACTTGCGTAAGCTACGGGCTTGTTATTACTATTTGACAACACAGCGCCTAGTGCTAACCCAGAAGCATCAGTCTGTAGTAAAAAAACATTGCCTTCTGAAAAATCAGGGTATTCCAGCACAGGCGATGAAGTAAGTGCCATTTTCAAAGTTTCGAAGGACTTTGCACATTCATTTGTCCATTCAAACTCGACATTCTTTTTACATAATCTATTTAATGGAACTGCTATCATAGCGAAATTTTTGATAAACTTTCTATAAAAATTTGCAAACGCCACAAATCGACGCACTTCGTCGACATTTCTAGGTACTGGGAAATTCTTTAAAACATTAATCTTACTACTATCTGGCATAACACCTCCCGGTGTGATTACATGGCCAAGGTAATTAATTTCTTGTTTCAAAAACTCGCACTTACATGGGTTCAGTTTTAAATTTACTGACCGCAACCTTTCAAATACTCTCATTAAATTAGTATTGTGCTGAGTCAGACTTTTCCCTATAACTATGACGTCATCAAGGTATAAAAAACAAGTCTCATAATTAAGACCAGACAGAGCCATAGACATCAGCTTAGAAAATGCACTTGGACTCGTCTTGAGCCCCATAGGTAATCTTTTTAATTGATATTGTTTATCAGCCGTAAAAGCTGTTAATTTCCTGCACTCTGGAGATAAACTTAATTGATAGTAGCCTGAATTAAGGTCTAGATGTGAGTAATACAGACACCCAGATAAAGAGTCAATAATCTCTTGAATATTTGGTAAAGGAAACTTTTCATCAATAATTTTTTTATTCAGTAGCCTGTAATCTACTACAATTCTCCATTTTCTCTCGCCGCTGCTATCCGCTTTTTTAGGGAGTAGCAACAAGGGAGATGACCATTCACTAGTGCATTCCTCAATTATATCTTCATTCAATAATTTATTAACCTGTTTTGCCAACTCTGCTTTTTGGGAGTGCGGTATCCTATACGGTTTAACGTAAACTGGAGTGGCATCATTTTGTAATTTTATCTGGTACTCAAATAAATTTGTAACAGATAGTTTATCACCTGGCATATGAAAAATATCTGCATATTTTGCACAAATCTTTTCAATGGATCGTCTTTCTTCATCCTTTAAATACGATTTCAGATTTAAGTATTCGAATAACTGTTTAACTCTTTCGACCGACTTCTCGTCTATTTTATCAAAAGAAAACACAGAATAATCAGAAAAAGACAACCCTAGGGCTGTAATTTGACAACTCCACCTCCGTTTCACGCGTATTTAGAAAACGGATAGGAATTTTTTCCCCGTCACTTACTACTGCAGCGCCTGCCACGAAAACACCGGCAGAAACTTCGTCTGGTAAAATAATATATTCACCTCTTAAGTCTGTGGACACATATTTCACAACTTCGCATCTTCTAGGAATAGTCATTGACTGATTTTTCCCCAACTCTATCTGCAATTTAACGTTGCTACCCGATTGACACTGCAAGGACATGCAGTTGTTTTCATAATCAATATTACATTTATATTTTACTAAAAAATCTTCACCTAAAATACCTTCATTTCTACAGTGTAAATTCTCAAAAACATAAAATTTATGTCTAAAATTACTACCTTTAACAAAAAGATTTAAATAAACGTAACCTAGCGATACTAAATTGCCACATACACCCTTAATTTTAATTTGTTCCTTTATTAATTCTACGTTTCTTAATTTATTTAAGCATTCTAACTTTAAAATTGAGATACTCGCACCCGTATCTAATAACAAAGAAAGAGGCATACATTGACACTCGAAGTTAACACAATTTCCTTTTCCATAACTAAATATTTCTATATCACTACTCTTAGTCACGAAAAAATTCGTTATCGCAATCGTTATCTTTTTCTATCGGCTGCTCTGACTCTACGAAATGCACAGCGCGGTCACGATTCCTACGTGCCGATGTACCGCGATTTTGCTGACTCCGTGAATTATTTTCATTGCTACGGCCGCGGCATTGCTGACGCGTGTTGTTATTATAATATCGCTTAGCACGATCATTACCGTAATAGTTAGTTCCTATTCTGTTTGTACTCCTAACATAGTTCACATATTTGTTATTTAATGACTCCGAAACAGAGTTTTCTTCCTCTAGGGCTATCATAATAGCTTGCCTTAGAGTACTCATAGCTCTAGATGCTATAATCGTACTTATACGCGAATTATTTAGTCCCTCTGCAAATCGTTTAATTCCTGTTTTTTCGTTACTTGGTTTTAAAATTTTGTACATATTTTCATCGCCGTCCGCTTGGGCTAACGTTAATTCAGTACATAATTTTTCGAGTTCGCTACCGAAACTCTCTATACTCCTAGTTCCCTGCCTACATTTCATTAGTTGCCACAATATAGCAGTATACGGTTTTACTGGCTTTAGATATTTTTTTACATCCTGTACTAACTCTCCGACTGTTGCGTATGATTGATTTAATCGTAGTTTAGCCGCGCTAGAAAGACGAGTTTTTAAGACAAAATTTATAAGTATTTTATGATCTTCTGACTTTAGAGTGCTACTATAGAATTCTAACCCGTCTATCAGTTGGTTAATTTGCGCAACCTCAGAGTCTACTACGGGCAATAGCGTCAATGCAGTTTTTAAATCAAAATCGGCCATTTTGCTACCTAATGTTGGCTGTACGAGTGCCTCTATTTCTTTTAATAAGTTATTAAATTGCACTTGAATAGATTTTGTGGCCTGTAGTTCCACAGCCTCGACTTCTTTCGCTAATATTAACGTTAGTATAACATC